TTACTATTTAACTTCATTACCTAACCGAATACTCCATTCTACTGATTACACAGCAATCAGCAAGGAGGAATAACATCTTGTAGGAGTGAGGAAGAGCCAGTTGTGAGTGTGGGGGAAGTTCGTGAGGCAGTAGGTAAAATGAAAGGGGGTAAGGCAGCCAGGATTGATGGGATAAAGATAGAAATGTTAAAAGCAGGTGGGGATATAGTTTTGGAGTGGTTGGTGCAATTATTTAATAAATGTATGGAAGAGGGTAAGGTACCTAGGGATTGGCAGAGAGCATGCATAGTTCCTTTGTATAAAGGCAAAGGGGACAAAAGGGACTGCAAAAATTATAGGGGGATAAGTCTGTTGAGTATACCTGGTTAAAGTGTATGGTAGAGTTATTATTGAAAGAATTAAGAGTAAGACGGAGAATAGGATAGCAGATGAACAAGGAGGCTTTAGGAAAGGTAGGGGGTGTGTGGACCACGTGTTTACAGTGAAACATATAAGTGAACAGTATTTAGATAAGGCTAAAGAGGTCTTTGTGGCATTTATGGATTTGGAAAAGGCATATGACAGGGTGGATAGGGGGGCCAATGTGGCAGATGTTGCAGGTGTATGGTGTAGGAGGTAGGTTACTGAAAGCAGTGAAGAGTTTTTATGAGGATAGTGAGGCTCAAGTTAGAGTATGTAGGAAAAGAGGGAAATTATTTCCAGTAAAAGTAGGCCTTAGACAAGGATTTTGTGATGTCACCGTGGTTGTTTAATATATTTATAGATGGGTTGTAAGAGAAGTAAATGCGAGGGTCTTGGCAAGAGGCGTGGAGTTAAAAGATAAAGAATCCCCAATAAAGCTGGAGTTGTCACAGTTTTCTCTTTGCTGATGAACTGTGCTCTTGGGAGATTCTGACGAGAAGTTGCAGAGATTGGTGGATGAATTTGGTAGGGTGTGCAAAAGAAGAAAATTAAAAGTGAATACAGGAAAGAGTAAGGTTATGAGGATAACAAAAGATTAGGTGATGAAAGATTGGATATCAGATTGGAGGGAGAGAGTATTGGAGGAGGTGAATGTATTCAGATATTTGGGAGTGAACGTGTCAGCGGATGGGTCTATGAAAGATGAGGTGAATCATAGAATTGATGAGGGGAAAAGAGTGAGTGGTGCACTTAGGAGTCTGTGGAGACAAAGAACTTTGTCCTTGGAAGCAAAGAGGGGAATGTATGAGAGTATAGTTTTACCAACGCTCTTATATGGGTGTGAAGCATGGGTGATGAATGTTGCAGCGAGGAGAAGGCTGGAGGCAGTGGAGATGTCATGTCTGAGGGCAATGTGTGGTGTGAATATAATGCAGAGAATTCATAGTTTGGAAGTTAGGAGGAGGTGCGGGATTACCAAAACTGTTGTCCAGGGGGCTGAGGAAGGGTTGTTGAGGTGGTTCGGACATGTAGAGAGAATGGAGCGAAACAGAGTGACTTCAAGAGTGTATCAGTCTTTAGTGGAAGGAAGGCGGGGTAGGGGTCGGCCTAGGAAAGGTTGGAGGGAGGGGGTAAAGGAGGTTTTGTGTGCGAGGGGCTTGGACTTCCAGCAGGCATGCGTGAGCGTGTTTGATAGGAGTGAATGGAGACAAATGGTTTTTAATACTTGACGTGCTGTTGGAGAGTGAGCAAAGTAACATTTATGAAGGGGTTCAGGGAAACCGGCAGGCCGGACTTGAGTCCTGAAGATGGGAAGTACAGTGCCTGCACTCTGAAGGAGGGGTTTTAAAACTTAGAATTATCAACCTACACTTGCTCAAATCCAGGAATTTATTCACTATAAACATACATATAAATTTAGAGTTAGCTTTAAGACACGAGGTTTAATGTTGCAGTTTAAAAACTGTAGTGTAAAGCACCCTTCTGGCAAGACAGTGATGGAGTGAATGATGGTGAAAGTTTTTCTTTTTCAGGCCACCCTGTCCTTGGTGGGAATCGGCCAGTGTGATAATAATAAAAAAACATTAAATGACCATATGACTTGTCTTTGTAATACTCATTTGTACTTAATTGTTATCTGTTTTACAATAATTTTTGTACCACCAAATATATCATTGCTTAGTTAATCTTAAGTTAATTTTAAGCCTGCCCATAAATAAATAAATCAATACTGATTGTACAGCAATGCAAGCAACCATACGACCTGTTTTTGTAATACTCATTTGTGCTTAATTGTTATCTGTTCACAATAATGTTTTACCACTGAATACTTCATTGCTTAGTTAATCCTAAGTTAATTTTAAGCCTGCCCGTAATGCTATGCATTCAAGTGGCTTTGGCATGCTGCATTTAACTATATTCTTTTGTGCTTCTCTGTATCATGTTCAAATTAATAAATAAATAAATAAATAAATTGTATACTACACAATAACAGCACAAACTTTGGTGTTATTATATTGTTTACAAAACATGTTTACACAAACCAACAATAAAAAATGTTGTTTATTACTATTTTTCTATCATATATACACATATAAAGTCACTGGACACTTCCCAGAACTGCAACAGCTTCTGTAAAGCCTGTACAGTGGACCCCCAGTTAACGATATTTTTTCACTCCAGAAGTATGTTCAGGTGCCAGTACTGACCGAATTTGTTCCCATAAGGAATATTGTGAAGTAGATTAGTCCATTTCAGACCCCCAAACATACACGTACAAACGCATTTACATAAATACACTTACATAATTGGTTGCATTCGGAGGTGATCGTTATGCGGGGGTCCACTGTAGTTGTTATTTATTTATTTTATTTATTTTATGTCTTTACAAACAGTACATTGAGATTTTATATTTACAATAGTGGGTTGCAATGCAAAGAGAGCCTCTGTTATGCCTAGGCATTATGGGGTGTGGGGGTGGACTTGTAAATCTGCTGAGTCACCGGCATAATTAGTGTCACAATGGCAAATAACACCATCGCTCACCACCTTCACTGCCTCTCAACTTCCTCCCCACCCCACCAACCAACATGGAAAGAAGTCACTGTCTGAATTTTTTGGGTTATCCTAGGTTGATAGTCTCCTTACTTCCTTCCCTCTTCCTTCCTTCCTTCCTTCCTTCTTTCCTTCCTTCAGGCTTCCTGGGCATTGTTTTCAGTCACAAACTCCTCAAAACCATGAAGTTCATCTTCGCTGACACTTCCATCTGTATTTGAAGTGTCACTTGGGAAGAAAAGAGCCCCAGTTAGCCGAGGAGTGAGAAGTTTCTTAGCGCTAGACATGGTGAACAAGGTGTAATAAAATGGCTTTCCCACAATGCACCACTGGGTCCCAGATTTTTTTTGTACCACGCACACTGACCATGGAGACCCATTCTCTCACATCTAGGTGTACCAGCTGTTTCCTGTTTAATTTGAGGCCGCTAGAATTTACGCATACTAGTAGGGCACCAACCCTGGCATGTAAGTCATACTAGTACGGCACCATCCCTGAAAGGGCTAATACAGTGGAACCTCAGCTTACGAATTTAATCCATTCCATGACCTTGTTCGTATCCCAATTTGTTCATATGCTGAGTCAATTTTCCTCATTTAAATTAACTGAAATGGCATTAATCCATTCCAGCAGAATTCCTGCTCTCAGGAGGCATGATAAAATACTTCAGTATGATGGTAATATCAACTCTGTGGCTTATTTATATATCACAATTCATCTAATTTCACCATCACTCAAGGAATGCACAACAGGTGCATTGTTGTTAATGTTCAGCATTTCTTCGATGTCAGCTTCCTGTAACTCCATTAGCATACAGTCAGGATGAGTAAGTAGAATTGTCAACGCTCATTACTTAGGTACGTTTATTTATTAACTTTCTTCAGTAGAGCTTTTGAGGCCATTGATCATGATAAAGAATTTGATATTGTTTATTGTTTTTTTTAATTAAAATGCCGACTTTGTGGTCTATTTTCGTATAGTATTTATGGTTGTATTCTCGTTTTCTTGGTTTCATTTGATAGAATGGAAAACATATTATAGAAATAGAGGTGATTTTGATTGATTTTACTATAAAAGAACCTGGAAATGGAGCTCAAAGTAGGGGAAATGTTTGATTTTTGCCGATGTTCAAAAGTAAACAAATGATGTCATTGTCCAATAAATGTCCAACTAGCCATTCTAATATGCAGTCATGAATGGGTTGATGTTATTTATACAATTATTGCAGTAGTCTGCATAATAGTAAATCTTCTATTTTTTGTTTGAATAAAAATTCAAAATAGAAAGCAAGAGTAATATCAGAGGGACTTGGAGACATGACTGATGAACAAAGAAAATGTTATTTTAGAGCCAGGAATGTCTGCAGTGTTCATTCTGGACCTTATTTTGAAATTGTCATATTTTTTAATTTTCGTGAAATTGGCCAAATTGCAAATTTCTGACCATGTTATTGGGTAGTTGAAATTGGTAAATGGGCAGTTTCTTGTACTCAATCGATAGAAAAAATGGAATTCTAAAGAAAAAGCTATGATTTTGGTCGAGTGGAACAATGGAATTAGCCGAAAATAGGGCTCAAAGTGGGCGAAATCGCCGATTTGTAAATATCGGCCGAGGTCGCTAACTTTGCGAGAGTGCAATTCCGTCAGTTTTCCATCAAATTTCGTTTTTTTTGTGTCATTCCAATCGGGAAAAGATTCTCTATCATTTCATAAGAAAAAAGAATTTTTTTTTTTTTTTTTTTTGAAATATTGCGACACCAGGAGACGCCTCAGGATTGGGGGTTGCGACAGTCAAGGGGTTAATCCATTTCAGACCTCCAAAAATACACTTAAAAAAGCACTTAAATTAATACACTTACATAATTGTTCGAGTTGGGAGCTGTACGAAACTTGGGGTACCACTGCACTTAAACTGTAATGGCCTTTATTCACTGATGACAATTGAAATTGTACAGTATCTTAGAATTCTAAAATATTGAGTCAAAACATTCCCTTTATATAATTAATTTTAAAGTATGCTGTATGTCTTGGATTTCCATATTACAGATGTGCCAGCAGAAGGAACAGTGACAGATACTGGAACTGTGTTCTCCGATTCAGTGCACGAAAGCATTTTAATTCCAGCAAATGTTGGGTTTGTGGGATGTGGAAATATGGCTCAAGCTCTTCTTCATTCATTTATAAAAAAAGGTAATAATTTTAATCGTAGTTTTTGTTCAGTTTTATGCAGTTTGGATAAAGGTATATTAGCATAATGAAAACATGCCACACTCTTATCTTACCCTCATCATACAATGGAACCTTGGTAGGTACTCGAACTTAATTCATTCCAGAAAGCTGTTAAAGAGCCAGTCTGTTAGAGTAGTGAACAGATTTTTCCCAAACAATTTTCTTTTTGGTTGGCTGTTATCACTAATCTTCGTAGGCCCCATGGTGACTTATTTATACAAATAATATAAAAAAACACCAAAAAATGCGAAGGAACATGAAATAGTTTAAAGCAAAGTTTTGACAGGTCGTGTTTGTTTGGTCGAGTACCAAATAAACGGTTTATTGATTGTACTTTCTTACCAGCATCATACTCATTTATAATCTTCATTTTTACCTCAAAATCAAGAGCCTTCTTTGTTTCTTAGCTCATCCTTCAGGTGAAGTCAAGATCTTCCTTTTCGCCGACATCTTTTACTATGGGATGTACAATAAAGTGCAAAGTTGTATAAATATATAGTCTTGGAGACTGAATGGCTGTAGGAAGGAGTCTGAGATATTTGACGCTGAGACGCCGCTCTGCCTGTATGTCATACGTACTGTATTTTGTTCAGGTTTGGTAGTTGACATTTAAACCACTCCAGAGCGATTGTTGTTGTTGTTATTATTATTATTATTATTATTATTATTATTATTATTATTATTATTATTATTATTATTATTATTACATATTATTATTAATACCATCCACATACCTTGTTCACTGAGTTTAATCATTTATTAAGCTGCCACGAGAGAGAGAATGTAATAATACTAATAATAATAATAACGTGCTGTTGGAGTGTGAGCAAAGTAACATTTATGAAGGGATTCAGGGAAACCAGCAGGCCGGACTTGAGTCTTGGAGATGGGAAGTACAGTGTCTGCACTCTGAAAGACGGGTGTTAATGTTGCAGTTTAAAAACTGTAGTGTAAAGCACCCTTCTGGCAAGACAGTGATGAGTGAATGATGGTGAAAGTTTTTCTTTTCGGGCCACCCTGCCTTGGTGGGAATCAACCAGTGTGTTAATAAAAAAAAAAATATAATAACAATTGCTCTGGAGTGCTTTAGACATCAGGTACCAAACCTATACGAAATACATATGACATTTAATGATTATTAATATTTTATTATTAATTATATTATTATTACTATCACCATCGACATACCTTGTTCACTGAGTTTAATCATTTCTTAATTAAGCAGACTCGATGTTTTCTTCTCCACCATAGGAAATAGGAAGAAACCTTGCCGATAAAATCCCAAGCTCAAATACCCCACCCAGTGACCAACTCACTGGCAACTACCCGAACACACTGTTCCTAGCTCCGACTAACCCAACAAAAGTCTCCCTTATTATCAACACACTAAAAGACAAGACAGGAGATTTAAATACCTTACCACCCTTTATATACAAAAAAGCTTTGCAAGTGCTGTCACCAATCATTGCAATGCTCTTTAATAAATCCATCGAATCCTCTATCTTCCCCACAGTTCTCAAAATAGCAAGGGTCACCCCGGTACATAAAGGAGGAGATCAAACAGACTTGAATAACTTTAGGCCAATATCCAACTTATGCCCTCTCTCTAAAATCTGTGAAAAATTAATTCATAAGCGAATCTATTCCTACCTCATCTCCCACAACATATTCAACCCCTGTCAGTTTGGGTTCAGGCCTAATAAAAATACGAATGATGCTATTATACACATGCTAGAACAAATATACACTGCACTCAAGAAAAAAAAAAAGTCCCATTGGGGATCTTCATTGATTTATGTAAAGCTTTTGATACAGTTGACCATGATTTGCTGCAAATAAAATTGTCTCGCTATGGTATAAGAGGGCACTCCCTCAACTACCTTAAGTCGTACCTTAGCAACAGAAGCCGGTATGTGTATGCAAATGGGGCAAACTCTTCCACACAGCCAATTACAGTTGGTGTCCCACAGGGAAGCATCCTTGGTCCTCTTCTCTTTCTCATTTACATAAACAACCTACCAAATGCATTGGAACTACTCAAACACCCACTATTTGCAGATGACACTACATACATCTGCTCTTACCCAAGCCCAGTCATGCTTACCAATACATGTACTGTAAATACCGAATTGCAGAAAATATCTACCTGGATGGTGATTAACAAACTTACTCTCAATATTGACAAAACCTACTTCATACAGTTTGGAAACAGAACCACAGATGTCCCTCTTAACATAATGATAAATGGATCACCTATCACAAAGCTCACGGAGGGAAAATTCTTAGGAATCCACCTCGATAATAGACTCTAATTTCAAACACACATACAACACATTTCCAAGAAACTCTCCAAGACCGTAAGCATACTATTGAAGATATGGTACTATGTTCCACAGTCAGCCCTCCTGGCCCTATATCATGCACAAAAACAATAAACCATCTCAAACCATTTATTACCCAACAAAAGGCTGCAGTCAGAATGATAACAAATTGCTACTAGAGGTAGCATACTCCACCAATATTCAAAACTCTAAACTTACTCACAGTACAAAACATCCATACTTATTATTGTACCTACTACATACATAGAACACTTAACTCGGACATAAACCCTCCCCTCAAACTTCTTACCAACCTCAACAGAACACATGACCACAACACAAGGCACAGATCACTCTTTGATGTTCCTCATGTCCATCTCACACTATGTAAAAATGCAGTGCACATAAAAGGCCCAAAAATCTGGAATTCATTACCTGTGAATATAAAAGAAACACTGTCTGTTTAACAATTCAAGACTTCTTAAAAACCACTTTCTCACCCACAACTAAATAAATACTGATTAACTGTATCTCCTAAATGTATAACCTGTGACCCTATCAAACTATGTTTTTTTTGTAATTACCTACAAATTTGTACAACTATAAAGCTTCTTATTTGAAATACTCATTTGTATTTCATGTTGTAATTTGTTTACTGTATTTCTTACCACAGAATATATCATTGCTTAGTTAATCTTAAGTTAATTTTAAGCCTGCCCACAATGCTCTGCATACAAGGGGCTTTTGGCATGTACACTCAACCACTGTAATTCTTTTGTATAACTATGTATCATGTCCAAATAATAATAAATAAAAAATAAAATAAATAAAATAAAAAATAAACACAGAGGAACACACCAGCTAACCCCTTTACTGTGAACTTCTTTTGTACTTCTTCCATTATTCGCTTGTTTTTCGTCTTCCAAGAGCTGCTGCACTTCTAACTCTGTCTTCTACTAGGGGATACACAATAAAGTACAAATTTATAGATGAAATATGTAGCCTTGGAGATTGTTTGATGCTGAGACGCATCACTAACCCCTTTACAATGAACTTCTTTTACTTCACTTGTATGACCAGAGCTACGGTAAGATGGGGAAGGAAGAAGGATGGGTAAGGATGGAAATATAGGAAAGGGGTGGGAGGGTGGAGGGGAGGTAGGATAAGAAAGGTAAGTGGCCCAACCACTTAGGTGCATGATAATACATGTATGTGTATAGTGTCAATAATGAAAGCAATTTAGGTGAATGGTGTATAACACCCGTCAGGTTCACACAGTTATAACAATGTATAACTGCATGACTGAATCGGCAAAGGGTATACAGTGGATCCTCTACTTGTGAGCGTGTCCACGTGCGAGTTTTTCCAAATACGAGCAGTCAATGGGTCAATTTTTTGCTTCCATATGCGAGCAGACCTCAAGGCAGGTTCCTTCACACTGGTGAGGGGCTCTTGCTCTTGATCTCGGGAATTGTATCTCATTTGTTTGTTGGACTACCTTATTGAAACTTGGGCAATGTATGATGGAAAGATGCTTCTTAACGTACACCAAAAATGAAAGAAATCTAAGCATAAATAATGGAGTTCACTTCTCAGCAATTAGCCACCCCTTAGCGGTAATTTCGAATAGTTTTTATGGTTGTATTCTCGATTTTTAGGTCTCATTTGATAGAATGGAAGATATATTATAGAAATAGATATGATTTTGATTGCTTTCACGACAAAAAGTACCTTGAAATAGAGCTCAACCTAGGAGAAATGGTCCATTGCTTGGTGTTTCAGAGCAAACAAATGATGTCACTGTCCATTCCAATATGCAGTCGTGAATGGGTTGACATTATTTATACAATTATTGCAATAAGGAATAACAGTAAATCTTGTTTTTATTGTGTGAATAAAAATTACAAATTATTATATAATAATAATAATTATAATAATAATATGTATAATAATACGTATAATAATATGTATAATAATAATACGTATAATAATAATAGTATAATAATATAATACAATAATAATAATATACAGTGGACCCCCGCATAGCGACTTTAATCCGTGCAAGAGGGCTGGTTGTTATGCAAAATGTTCGGTATGCGAATGAATTTTCCCCATAAGAAATAATGGAAATCAAATTAATCCGTGCAAGACACCCAAAAGTATGAAAAAAAATTTTTTACCACATGAAATATACATTTTCCTACACACAAAGAGAAGGATACATGCACAATAGTAGAGTAGTACATGCACAATATATATTGTGCATGTACTAGTCTACTAAATGAAGAATAAATGACACCTTTACTGAAGATGCAGTAATGACAGATGAGACACTGTGTCCTGGGAGTGCCTTTTCCTCCTGAGTACTGTAGGTCCTGTTTGGCATTTTCTTCCAAAACAGGCCTTATCACACTGTGTATGCCACTACGATTCTTAAATCTCTCAAACCAACCTTTGCTGGCTTTAAATTCACCAATATGAGCACTAGTTCCAGGCATTTTTCCCTGTTCACCTGGGTGTTAGTCGACTGGTGTGGGTTGCATCCTGGGAGACAAGATTAAGGACCCCAATGGAAATAAGTTAGACAGTCTTCGATGACACTGACTTTTTTTGGGTTATCCTGGTGGCAAATCCTCTGGG